ACTGAAGTTGGACGTTGTTTGAAGTTGGCCGTTGATGTATTTACCCGTCTTGTAATTATGCTCTGATAGGATATCAATTAATGAAATATAAGAAGTAATTATAATCAAAGACTTACAATGCTTCTCTGGCTTCTTCTTCTCCCAAAGCATTCATCAATTTGCGACATTTTATGGAAAGTTGTAGATTTTCAGAAACAAGATTCTTCACATGTGAGTTCCGTTCCATTAGTAGAGCTTCTAACTGTTTAACTCTGCAAGTTCATCAGGGTCAATAAGGCTAACTTCAATCTACGAGGCATTACTATAGTGTGATACCTAAGTACACTTGCGTGTAGTTGCTCTTTTAAATAGGTGTTTTCTCCCTTCAACTCCCGGAAAGATGTTCCGCTAAACATGTCCCGACCTTCCAAAACAACGTAAGGAGAGGCTATGTTTCTAAAAATGTATGGAAGAATGCATGTGAGGATTTACATTCAGTTGGCAAAAAAAGTTTCCAAAGCAAAAATTCACTAACCCGGAACCATCCTCGTACTCTTCTGTAACTTCCTCGTAACCATCTACATCTATATTTGGCTCCATGAGCATCTCAGTTTGTCTTAAAGACAACGAAGCAGCTTTACAGCTAATGGATACAATCTATCTTTGCAGTCAACTGAACTCACTCCCACACATCTTTCATGAAATGCCTTCAAAGAAAAGGTAAACTCATCTTCAAAATTGGTATCTCCACTGCCGAGCGCTCTACATCAAAGAAAGCTTCGGATTCCAGGGAGATATCAATACTAATCTCTCCAAAACACATTTCTGCGGATTTTATTCACAAACAAGGTCTGAGTTCTCCTATTCTGTCTACCTACATGTTCTTTGCTATCAAAAGGAAGGATCAGTACTCACTCATCTCCATCACCATCGACCACTATCGTTTCACTGGATTTTGGGTCAGATATCGATTTTTCCACTGGTACTGCGGATTCTGCAAAAGGAAGTGCTGACTGATAGTTTAACTAAGTAAAACAAATTGGTCAATAAATCATTACTGGGTCTCTTAAGTGTCTGAGCAACTACAATGGAATGAAATATAAAAATAAGGAAGAAAATTTCTGTTATATGAATTATTAGATATCCCACCAGTGTAAATCGGAGCATCACTTTTCACAATCCGAAGTGATTTTCTCGAGGAGGCATCATCGGGCGCATCTTCAGGAAAGTAAACTCTGTAAATCCATGAAATAAATTAGTAACTTCTACAACAAAACTATCACGGAATGCGGA